AAAAAAAAAAAAAAGAACATGTCATCTTCTTAAAACTCAATTGCTGAGATAACTGCGGAAAAAGAAACATGACAAATACATGTTAAATGTGAGTGAGTTTGGTTTAAGTTCATCAAGAGCATGGGCGAAGTTACATACAAAACTCACTAGGGCTATAGCCCAGGGTTAGAAAAAACAAAAAAATTAAATGTATGTGTTATGAAACTTTACTAAGCCCAATCTAAATTAAATTTTTACATTAGCATTCATACAATTTTAAATTAATTTTCATTAATGACAAGATAGTGAAAATAAACTTAGAGTCTTGGTGATGTGAATATTTGGTTGAAATTCCATATTTAAAAGCAATTGGTGGCATATTTCTTTTATTTCTTTATTTTTTAAAATTGCTTAAAAAGCAATTGGTAGCATTTATTTTTTTAAAGTTCTCTTCCTATAGTGAATAGTGATTTTTGATAGTGTAAATGAATATGAAATAAATAATTTTAAAATTTTATTTTATTGTATGAAGGTCGTTGTAAATTTATTGGATATAATATATTACATATAATGATTAAACAATATATATTATCTAAATCATGGAGTGATGTTTTTAGTTTTCTCACTCAGTTATGAAAACATGAATGTTATTGTTTCACCTAGTTTATAAAAACAAAAATAATACTATTCAAAGTTAAAATTTAAGTTTAATTCTCATCTTTTGTTGATAACTATACACTTTAAATAAGGGTAACAATGCACTTAACCTTTCAAAACACTATTTGAGAAAAGATATATATATATTATTTTGGATACTTAAAGTAATACTTGTTTATTTTTTAAGATTAACAAAAAAACAAATATTTAATATTAATTAATATTTTTTATTAAGATAATTAGGAGAAAATAGTGTTCTTCCTTGTAGATAAAAAAAAACAATATTAATGAATAATTCTTTTATTTAAGAAAAATGAATTGAAATAACTTGAAGAAAAAAATGTGTTTTTTCAATACTCGTCACTAATTAAACTAGCCCAGGACGGTTTTTAATCCTGGCTACACCCCTGATCAAGAGTCAACCCGATGTTCGCACGGCTATGAAATATGTGTTCATTTTTTTTTTTTTTAATGTTT